CCCCCCCCAATTATCGAGTTTGCTACGCTACTGTTCAACGCTCTAACAAAAGTAGTGGGTTTTCTCTGAGTACTCCAGTTTCCTTTCAGAGGGAATGTTGACAAGGTGGGTTGGCATTATCCCCCTAACTGACACTTCCAACCGTTGCTGTGCTCCGTGATCAGACATGAGGTGGCTGCCATAGGCGCCCTTAGAAAGCCTTCAACTCGATCAGATTGAGCTGCGTCCTTCGTAATTCAGCTTAGCTCTCAGCTGCAAGTAAGGATGATACACAGCAGTGTGCAACTGGATCAGTGTCACACGCACAGCAGTGGGCCAGTGCATAGAAGACCTTTAAATAATTTTTTGAACGCTATGCGGTTTTCAAGTCATCTTAATGTATAATTTCTCACATTTTATTCAATATTTTGTAAAGTTGTAATATTTTGTAGTATATTTATAGCTCGCGTTACTATATTTAGAGCATGTTTTTTTCAAGTGTACAACTGGCTCACATTTTACCAGTAGTGCTCACTCCTCCGCAGAGGCTTACATGCAACCTCGTTCCCAGGGCTTCAGTGTGAGGACGAGGCGAGACACGAGGAAGCCCTGGTCTGGGCCGGTCACGTGACGACCAGAGGAGGAATGAGGGTCTTCCCGAAATGCAACGCGCGAATGAGTGCGGCTCATTATTATTCAAGCTATTTATTCTCAACACGCCGTTCGATTAAAAACTGTTGAAATATATTGCGATTTTTGCTGTGAAGATCTCGTTTTCTCAAAGGTATGTTTTGATAACCTTTTTGTTTAGTAATTTAATAAAAGAAGTTTTGAATAATTTTGTGTATATATCGCATTTTACTTATGTTAAATTCCCATTGTATTTATGCATGTTTTGGGTGTTGAAAAAGTGGCATTGAAATATTCTGGAGTAAATTGTACTTTTTTACAAGGAAACTAAAATAAAATTACATCAGTGAATTCAGGAATGTTTACTCTTTACATTGATACTTTAAAACATGAATTTACTCCATAAAACCGAAGAGCTGTCGCGGTTTGAAAATGAGCTAATTTTGCTAATTATCGAATATAGCAAAAATAGCTCATTTTCAAACCACGATAACTCTTCGGTTTTATGGAGTAAATTCATGTTTTAA